GGCCCCTCAGTTTAAAAAGGACAGGGACCTGCTGGAGAGAGTCCAGCGCAGGGCAACTAAGATGATTAAGGGAGTGGAGCATCTCCCTTATGAGGAAAGACTGAGGGAGCTGGGTCTCTATAGTTTGGAGAAGAGGAGATTGAGGGGTGACCTTATTAGTGTATATAAATATATAAAGGGGGAGTGTCACGAGGATGGAGCCAGGCTCTTCTCAGTGGCAAACAATGAAAGGACAAGGGGTAATGGGTACAAATTGGAGCACAAGAGGTTCCACTTAAACCTGAGAAGAAACTTCTTCTCAGTGAGGGTGACGGAACACTGGAACAGGCTGCCCAGGGAGGTTGTGGAATCTCCTTCTTTGGAGACATTCAAGACCCGCCTGGACACGTTCCTGTGTAACCTTATCTAGGTGTTCCTGCTCCGGCAGGGGGATTGGACTAGATGATCTTTTGAGGTCCCTTCCAATCTCTAACCTACTGTGATACTGTGATACTGTGATACTGACCCACCAAGGCAAGCACCACGTGCTTGCCATGGTGGAAGCAACCACTGGATGTCTGGAAACACACACTGTGCCACATGCCACTGCCTGGAACACTACCCTGGGCCTTGAGAAACAAATCTTGTGGTGACATGGTACCCCTGAGAGAACTGAGTCAGACAATGGGACTCATTTCCGGAACAACCTTATAGGCACTTGGGCCAAGGAGCATGGCATTGAGTGGGTATATCACATCCCCTACCATGCACCAGCCTCTGGGAAAACTGAATGTTACAATGGGCTATTAAAAACTACACTGAGAGCAATGGGTGGGGGAACTTTCAAGCATTGGGATACACATTTACAAAAAGCCATCCAGTTGGTCAACACCAGAGGATATGTCAACAGGCCTGGCCCAGCCCACTCAGAACTTTTCCATACTGTAGAAGGGGATAAAGTTCCTGTGGTGCACATAAAGAATTTGCTGGGGAAGAGAGTCTGGGTTATTCCTGCTTCAGGTAAAGGCAAACCCACTCATGGGATTGCCTTCGCTCAGGGACCTGGATACACTGTGCCCCACGCCACTGCCCGGAACACTATCCTGGGCCTTGAGAAACACATTTTATAGCGACACAGCACCCCAGAGAGAATTGAGTCAGACAATGGGACTCATTTCCAGAATAATCATATAGACACTTGGGCCAAAGAGCATGGCATTGAGTGGGTATATCACATCCCCTACCATGCACCAGCCTCTGGGAAAATCGAAAGGTACAATGGGCTGTTAAAAACCACACTGAGAGCAATGGGTGGGGGAACTTTCAAGCATTGGGATACACACTTACCAAAGGCCACCTGGTTGGTCAACACCAGAGGATCTGCCAACAGGGCTGGCCCAGCCCAATCAGAACTTTTGCATATTGTAGTAGGGGGCAAAGTTCCTGTGGTGCATATGAAGAATTTGCTGGGGAAGACAGTCTGGGTTATTCCTGCTTCAAGTAAAGGCAAACCTACTCGTGGGATTGCTTTTGCTCAGGGACCTGGATACACTTGGTGGGTAATGCGGGAAGATGGGGAAGTCCGATGTATACCTCAAGGGGATTTAATTTTGATGGAAAACAGCCAATGAACTCAATTACATGCTGTTGCCTGCTATATAATACTTCTGTAGCCCACCAACTAAATGCCCTTCTCTTCCACTCTGGGCTTTGAAAAGAATATATGTGCTCTCATGATCATCAGCAGAGCATTAAGTCATGGGAAAACCTGTCAGCAGCAGTAGAAGTCTCCCACTACTGCCCTCAGGTCATCATCGAGTCAACATGACTTCCCTCTGATCATCACCACAAGAAAGAATGAATTTTGGTGAGACCAGGCAAGTTCAGTGCTGTCATCAGCAGGCAACAATCCAACACTGCACACTGTCTCTCCTGCCCTGAAAGACTCTTATGACAGATGAAGCCTGATGTACTGGATTTAATGAACTTAGCAAAATTTTTAGGGACGGTCCATGGACTAAGGAATGATATCTGTCTGTGTGTGTGTATGTATATATGGGTGTATATATATATATATATATATATCAAGAGACAAGAAGTGATGGCATATTGAAAAAATTGTGGGACCTGAGCATGATGCAAATGGCATGGAATAAGGGGTGGAGAGTCTCCTGGGTTCAGCTGTAACAGTTACTTTTCTCCTTCTTAGTAGCTGGTGCAGTGCTATGTTTTGGCTTTAGTCTGAGAACAATGCTGATAACAAATCAGTGTTTTAGTTGTTGCTAAGTTATGCTTAACCTGAACAAGGACTTTTCAGTCTCTCATGCTCTGCCAGGGAGGAGGGGCACAAGAAGCCAGGAGGAAGCAGAGACAGGACACCTGACCCAAACTAGTCAAAGGGGTATTCCATACCACCGCATGTCATGCCCACTATATAAACTTGGGGGAGTCACCCAGAAGGCCCAGATCACAGCTTGGGTCGGGCTGGGTGTCAGTTGGCAGGTGGTGAGCAATTGTATTGTGCATCATTTGTGTTTATTGTTGACTTTTTCCCTTCCCTTTTTAGTTTTATATTCCCTCCCCTTGTTATTTCCCTTATTATTAGTAGTAGTAGTTTTATATTATACTTTAGTTATTGGATTGTTCTTATCTCAACCTCTGGGGTTTACATTCTTTCAATTCTCCCACCCGTCCTGCAGGGACGGGGGGGGAAAGTGGGAGAATGAGTGAGCAAATGGCTGTATGGTTCTGATTTACCACCTGGGCTTAAACCACAACACAGTCTTACCTTTATATTACTCCCGCCACCGCTTGGTCCCCGGGGCCACTCTCCCAGGAAGGTTCGGCCACCTGCGGCTCCCAGGGCCACTCCCCCTCAGCTCCCCGCAGCCTCACAAAGATGGAGGTAAGGACGAGGGCCAGGACGGTGAAGAGCAGTGGGATGGCCAGGTACAAGCCCACGGACACGTCCATCCCGCCCTGCTGCCGGAGCCCGCCCATATTACAAGTCATTACCATAAAGTACAGTGAAGCAAGAACATTAGACCAAGCCCCCCATCTGATAAACACTAACACAGCAAATACCAGCTGTAAGTATGGTACAGTCTACTGAAACTGTGAGATCAAGAGAAACAACTTTGAGAGCCAATAAATCAGCATTGTGACAAGTGACTATTAATCCAAAACAATTAATGGCTATCACAAATACGATTAGATACACTCTGGTCAGATCTGTCGTTATCTCAACCCTTCATGCCCCATGTTTGGCACCAAAAAAGAACTGTCGTGGTTTAAGTGCAGTCAGTAACTCAGACACACGCAACCCATTCGCTCATTCCCCCCCCTTCCTCCCCCCCGCTCCTGGAAGGACAGGGAGGAGAATCGAAAGAATGTAACTCCCATGGGTTGAGGTAAGAACAGCCGGTAACTAAGGTGTAACACAAACCACTACCGCTACCACCAATAATAATAACGATAAGGGAAATAACAAGGGAAGAGAATACAACTGATCACCACCTGCCAATACCTAGCTCGACCGAGCAGTGAACTCGCCCTTCCAGGTAACCCTCAATTTACATCCTCATCATGACGTGCTGTGGTATGGAATACCTCTTTGGCTAGTTTGGGTCAGGTGTCCTGTCTCTGCTTCCTCCCGGCTTCCCCTCCTCCCTGGCAGAGCATGAGACTCAGAAAGGCCTTGGTCAGACTAAACATTTGAGCAGTAACTAAAAACATCAGTGTTGTCAGCGCTGTTCCCAGGCTGAAAGTCAAAAACACACAGGTGCACCAGCTACTAAGAAGGAGAAAAATGATTGCTACTGCTGAACCCAGGACAGAAGCCTATCCCATTAAATAACAATATTTAAAGCAGCAAGTATGAACAATGCACCAAATTATGCACAATGACATTAGCATATGAGGCTAACACTCTACATTACATTTGTTTAACGGTTTGCACAAACCTCAGAAAACATGCAATCCATTGGACAACTGCTTTGATATTCACCACATTATATCAAATCCATCAAACTTTTCTTAGTATATCAACAAAACTATCCTCCTGTGAAATGTTACAATGTTTAAACAGCTGTCTTCTGAGAAGTATCAGTAAAACACCTGACTTGTCTGAACCAGTATCATTTTATAAAAGAAATCCTAGTCTTCTGTATAAATGAAGTGAACAGCTCAAGTGTTAAGCAAATCTAAACCAAAAGCAGATTATACCAAATGTTCAAAAAACAGGACAGGATATTCTGCCTACTACACATTCCTAAATAAAATAAAATGCATAGTCTAACTTCTAACACAACAGGTATATTTCGGAGCTCTGGAATACCAAAACAACTTTATGAATAAGAATATTATCATATCTTCCATTTGCTCTCCTGGTGGTGAGTGACTTTTAGAGAATTAGACTCCATTACTCCAATGTTTAATTAGCTACTGAGCCAATAACTTAATGATATCAATGTAAAACAAACAAAACCCAGCCCTTATTTTTTTATGCAAGAGCAGGGCCTAAGGCTATAAACAATGACCAATTTATGGATAGGACAAATAACTGTTAAAGGCTCAATAGATTCTGATTGGTGGGCATACCTGCATTAGCATTTTAGTTCAGAATGTGCTCTTGAAGCAAAACTCCCACTTATCATGCTCTGGTTCATTACATGGAAGAGTGTTAGAGAGCAAACCATTTTTTTTTTGGACTGAACTAGTGTGGTTTAAGCCCAGATGGTAACTCGGAGACAAACAGCCTCTCTCTCATTCCCCCCCTTCTTCTTGGAGGGATTCTCCTGGAGGGATGGGTAAGAAGGGGGGGAGTGAGTGAGAGGCTGCATGGTTCTGAGTTACCAGCTGGGCTTATACCATGACAGTTCATTTTTAACTACTACAGCTGAACCCAGAATAACTACTCCAAATTATATTCTCCAGAAATATCTAAAGGAAATGGAAACTAATGGAAGTTCAGTCCATGGGACCAGATTAGAACTTGTCCAAAGTAAAATCCCTAAAGTGCAGGTAATGTACATACTGGATTCTCAGCACCAACTATTTCCCTTACAGATCTGTTACTGTTGCAGGGTAATATTTGCAGGGTAAACATAGCCACCATCTGTGGTATGCTTGCTTTCTATTAGAGAAGGATGATGTCATTAAACACAACAAAACAAAAAAATACTTTCAAAATTATATTTACCAACAAAAAGTCTCACCTGTGCTTGTTCAGGAGTTTCTCCTGCAAAGTAAAAGATGTAATGCTCTTCACTGAAGTGCTGAACTACTATCTGAAAACAGTTTGGCCTTAAAAACAAACAAAAAAGAAATGTAGGGAAAACCCCAACAAGAAAAGTTTCTACATGCTTCAAAAGTGCATTTTGGTTTGAATGAATTATATAATTTCAAGAAAATTGCACTGCAGTTCAACTAATTTCCTTAAGAATATTTAAGAAAATTGAAACAGCTTGTATTGAATATGCATGTACACTGACATATAGTTGAGGCAAAATACACCTAATAACATTAAAAGACTTGTTAATGAGGACTATACCTCAGAAACATTTTAGATGATGCAAAGGTTCAGCATTAGTTCGCAACCACTTATTGATGCATTATGGATTTGTTGTTTTAGGAGTTCATTTAACTATATTAACATAAGGAATTCCTTATTGGGCCAATGCCAACCTCATGAAGTTCAACATAGCGAAGTACAAGGTCCTACACCTGGGCTGGGGCAATCCCAGGCACAACTACAGGTGGAGCAGAGAAGTGATACAGAGCAGCCCTGCAGAGGAGGACCGGGGATGTTGGTTGATGAGAAACTTAACATGAGCTGTCTCCAGTGTGCACTTGCAGCCCAGAAAGCCAACCATATCCTGGGCTGCACCAAAAGAAACTTGACCAGCAGGTCAAAGGAGGTGATTCTGCCCATCTACTCTACTCTTGTGAGACCCCACTTGGAGTACTGTGTGCAGTTCTAGTGTCCTCAACATAAGGACACTGAACTATTGGAACAAGCCCAGAGGAGGGCCAAGAGGATAATAAGGGGGGTGGAGCACCTCCCATATGAAGATAGGCTGAGAAAGTTGGGGCTGTTCAGCCTGGAGAAGAGAAGGCTGCATGGAGACCTCATAGCAGGCTTCCAGTATCTGAAGGGGGCCTATGAGGATGCTGGAGAGAGACTTCACCAGTGATTGTAGTGATAGGACAAGGGGTAACAGGTTCAAACTTAAATGGGAAGTTTAGATTGGATATAAGCAAGAAGTTTTTTATTGTGAAGGTGGTGAGGCACCAGAACAGGTTGCCCAAGGAAGTGGGAAATGCTCCATCTCTGGCGGTGTTCAAGGCCAGGTTGGACAGAGACTTGGGCGACATGGTCTAGTGTGAGGCATCTCTGCTCATGGCATTGGGTTGGAACTCGATGACCTTAAGGTCCTTTCAAACCTTAACCATTCTATGCTTCCATGATTCCATTATCTGAATGATTTCCACAGCTCTCACCACCAATCAAATGTGTATTGAATCCCATACTAATCATTCAATATGTGTGATATAAACTTCTAAAGCTTTAAATGCAATTATAACATCTTTACCATTTTATATATCTACACTAATTTGTCAGAAAGTGTTAAAAATATTTTGTACTGCTACATTACAAGCTAAAATGCACACTTGATTCATGGCCTTCCACATTACCTTCAAGGGAATTTAGCTCTCCAAAACACAGTGTTACATGAAGTATCTTCACTTGCAAATGTTTCAGTTTTCCCTTCTCCCTCTCCATTTCTTAGGGAAATACTGGCATGGCATTTTGTGGCCATGCCCACAGGAGTATGGGGGAGGGAGGGAAGAAGTAGCCAGGTCAGGGGCTATTTAAATCATTGTTGCCAGAGACATGTGAAGCTACAGCCCTCACTGTTCCAAGTAAAGGGGAAAAGTAGTTTTTGCCACCTACTTAAAATATAAGAGGAATTTTGTCTCCACTACAGTTCTTCACCAACAGCTTTCCCAAGCAGGTGTAAACATGCATTATCCTTCTACCCACATTATTAGTGTTACTTATTACCCAACTACATTTGAAACCACAGTACAGTGTTTCTTAGAAGCTGCTTAACAGACAGTCACCATTAACCAAGAATGTTCCTTGTTTACAGTTTACACGAAAGCTTCCTGCATAATTGCCAATTTACATGAGGAACATTTCAGTAATTGTTATTTTTTAATGGTACTCTCATATCTATGGCTCCTCCTTGCAATAGTTGAGTAAACTTTTCAAAATTATTAAGTGCATAAAAATTAGATTTTGCAAGAACACCACATCTTTGCATCTTAAGGAATGCCACTAATTCTAAACACCTATCTTCACATTATCTCTGTGAAAAGACTTAAAGTTGATTAATTACTTTTTTACATATTAAGATGCATGGAATAACCAGAGCATCTGTTTAATTATTTTTTCTCTCTATTATAAAAGAATAATAACATTTGTAGAAGTAAATGCATTGTTTTCGTCTATAGCACACATGAATGAACTTTTTTTTGTAATTAACGATTTAAAAAATAAAATATGTGACATGTTTCATCTTAGTTACTGATGATAAGGAAAGTGTTTTGATTCCTGTTTGACCTACTAATATCCTATGACAAGGTGATCAACCTGGTTGATGAGGCAAAGGCTGTAGACATTGTCTATCTGGACTTCAGTAAAGCATTTAACACTATCTCCCACAGCATTCCCCTGGAGAAAACGGCTGCTCATGGCCTGGATAGGTAGATTCTTCGCTGGGCTGGAAACTGGCTGGCTGGCCAAGCCCAAAGAGTTGAAGGTAAACGGTATCACATCTAGTTGGCAACTCATCACTAGTGGTGTCCCCCAGGGCTTGTTATTAGGGGCAGTGTTATTTAATATCTTTATTAATGATCTGAATGAGGGGATTAAGTGCACCCTCAGTAAATTTGCAGGTGACACCAAGTTGGGAAAGAATCTTGATTTGCTGGAGAGAAGGAAGGCTCTGTAAAAGAATCTGGACAGGCTGGATCGATGGGCTGTGGCCAGTGGTATGAGGTTTAACAAGGCTAAGAGAGCTGGGTCCTGCACTTGGGCCACAAAAACCCCATGCAATGCTACAGGACTGGGGAGAAGTTGCTGGAAAGATGCCCAGTCGAAAACGACCTGGGGTGCTGAATGATGACCTTAGTGATATGGTTTAGTGGTGGATTTGGCAGTCCTGGGTAGACAAGGGGTAATGGATTAAAACTTAAACAGGGGAAGTTTAGATTGGCTATAAGGAGGAAATTCTTTCCTGTTAAGGTAGTGAGGCACTGGAATAGGTTGTCCAGGGAGGTTGTGAATGCTCCATCCCTGGCAGTGTTCAAGGCTAGGTTGGACGAGGCCTTGGGTAACATGGTTTAGAGCGAGGTGTCCCTGCCCGTGGCAGGGGGGTTGGAACTTGATGATCTTAAGGTCCTTTCCAACCCTAAGTATTCTATGATTCTATGATAATCTTACAGGTCTTTTCCAAACTAGCTGATTCTATGATTCCATGATAATATTTTTAATGCCTGTAATATGAAATGTGGAACAATTAATACACAATATTGAAAAATGGCAATGCAAAGGGCCAAATCATTATCACATTGTATTACATGAGAAAATCTTAAGACTAAGTTCTAAAATGTCTTAGTGGAAGTTGTCTATGAATAGTTGTTAGCAATCAAGTTGCCATGGCTTAAGAAGTTGCCATGGCTTAACAAGTTACCATTAATCAGTTAAGTATGTCCACATGTGCTCTTGCAATCCACACCAACTATGGAATAAAATGCAGTATGAAACTAGTCACAGTGCTTTCATTTCACAATCAGCAAAACCTAAAAAAACCCACATGCTGACAGTGACCAGGACTCAGGTGTCAAAAAGCAATTTATTGTGCCAGGCTAAATTGTTCATTAGTGACATATTGTCTGTATCTTGTATATGCCTCAAACTAGTAGTTAACCATCCTGTTGCATGTAAAAGAATTAAAAAACAAGAGTCCTACCTGCCAAATAAACTGTCATGTACTCCGTAGAATGAACACACACTAAGGTCTATTAATCCTTTAGGCTTTGTGACTCGTTTTTCACTTTCAAAATAAATAAGTTGAGCATCATTTCCCTCCAATATAAAATACAAGTTTTTCCATCTCTTTCCTTTACCTGTAAGGAAAGGAAGTAAGAAGTTACAATATTGTTTTGAAGAAAATGCAAATTTTGTAAATGAAGAAAAAAGGTTAGTGAGGTGTTTGCCAAAATACAAACAGAACAATGTACAGTTAATCATGCTTAAGCAATAACATCAGTTATACATACTCAATTTTTTGTAGCACATGGTTAAAACTAGACTCGTCATAGATTCAAGTACAATTTTAGATGGTGCTCTAAACATTTTCATTAATCTCAGCAGGATTATGCAAGTGCATATGAGCTCCATTCATATCAGTGGGAAGACTGTCTATACAGTTTGCAAATAATTTGTGATGCCCTAAGTGATCCAATTTATTATGGTTATTTAAATTAAGAAATAATTTCCTTTGACATGAGAAAATTATTCATAAACTCTAATCATAAATTCTGATGAGCATAACAGATTGCATCACAATATCTTAAATCATAAAGACTGAAGAGTAGAAATGGGAATACAATATATACAAACATGGATCAGAACCATGCCTCAAACACACCTATATCAAAAAATTTGACCAGTTCCACATGTTTCAGAAAAAAAATAATAAAAAATTAATAACCAGAGATTTATATGTCAAGGTTTGTTAAAAGACACGTTAGATGTATCTCTGAAAATATGGATTTAGCTACTGACTAAACCAAAAATAAATCATGCATTGTTTAATGTCCTCTGAATTGCAACTGATAAGGAACTTTCTGCAACTAATTCTTACATAAACCACAGTACCTTTTAGAAAAACATTCAGCTTTAATTTTTTACTTGATCATCACAGATCCACCACAGCACTTCATAAATAATCACTAGCACTCACAGTTTTGGAAAACTGACATCCAGTTATTATACTCCACTAGATGGAAGAGTGATTTTATTAAATTTCTGTTCTATATACAGGTATGTGCATCTCTCCACACCTACTCAGTACTCCTGCTTGCACATTTAAAGTATCTCATTATCTCTTTTAGGGATAACTTAAAGTTCATTCCTACCACATCCCTCTACACCTCTCAGAATTGGCAGTCTCAAGAGAAGAGATGCATTCCTTGCTTTATTCAAAGGTTCTAGTTTTTATTGCATTTGAATGAGTCTTCTAAATTTGGCAATATTTAAATGCTTACCTTCTGTGTCAGTGACACTAGCTAATGGTCCATGGTGAAACACAAAAAAATAGAAAAGTATTATTTGGCACAGGTTGTGGGAACATAACCTTAAAAATAGGGGAGTTAACACCACTGTTAGCAAAAGGCAGTCTTATACCAGTTGCAAGACACATGAGGTAATTGTCCGTGGTGGTTGCTCCCTGAAAATCCCCCAAAAGTCCCAAAGTCCCCTTTGGAAATCCCCAAAAAGTCCTGAGAGATAATAACTGCACAATTGTGACGAAAAGCCATAACTGGCCACTCCTTCCGATGTAGGCTGGCCCCCTGTGTCAGAATGAGTGTGCCCTTTTGCTAGGATAAAAAGCCCGAGTCTCATGCAGTGCGAGGAGTCAGACCCTCATACCACCCAGGTCAACATTGCCTCCATGGGGACACCCGCTAACATTGAGCCTGTCACCACGCACTGCGATGATGTATCTCAATGCTGATTTCCTGATCGTCATCACATGGTCTTTGGGGTTGGTAAGATAACCAAACATCAGAAATATCCTTTACTGTATTCTTTGCTATCTCAATATTTTCCTTTCTATAATTTTTTTGTATAAATAAACTAGCTGTTTTTCTTTCTATTTTTCTCAACCCGAAATCCCCCAATTCTGGAACACCTTCTTTCTCACTTTTGCTTGCTATCCAGACCATGATCTGGTAAGTTATTGTTTTAGCTACTGTCTTTGTCATATGAAGAAACTTTAATACGTTTGGTTTTGTTTCTTTTTTTTTTTTTATGTCAAAAAACTAAAATAATGATACTTGGAAACGGACTAGCTTCCTTGGCACTTCAAAATGTTGGTAATCTTCCAACGATATATTGAAATGAGTCAGGAAGCTTTGAATCTAATTATTCCATGCCATGTTGACTGTGTCAGCGTTAGAGTCTTAAAAAAGTCTCAATGTACCTTGTACACCAGAATATACTTTTAAATTAAACTTGGAGTAATGTGTACAGTTCTGGTGTCCTCAACAAAAAAAGGACATGGAACTGTTGGAACAAGTCCAGAGGAGGGCCACGAGAATGATCAGGGGACTGGAGCACCTCCGGTATGAAGATAGGCTGAGAAAGTTGGGGCTGTTCAGCCTGGAGAAGAGAAGGCTGTATGGAGACCTCATAGCAGCCTTCCAGTATCTGAAGGGGGGCTATAAGGATGATGGGGAGGGACTCTTCATTAGGGACTGTAGTGATAGGACAAGGGGAAATAAACAGGGGAAGTTTAGATCGGATATAAGGATGAAGTTCTTTACTGTGAGGGTGGTGAGGCGCTGGAACAGGTTGCCCAAGGAAGTGGGAAATGCTCCATCCCTGGCGGTGTTCAAGGCCAGGTTGGACAGAGCCTTGGGTGACAAGGTTTAGTGTGAGGTGTCCCTGCCCATAGCAGGGGCGTTGGAACTTGATGATCTTAAGGTCATTTTATCAAAATGTACTTAATTTAATGAGTCTAAACATTTCCTTTGATAAAAGGAGCTTAATTTTTTGTCATGTTTTCTGATTTTTTTTGCAAAAACTGCCAATCCACATCTTTGTATTGCATGTCATTTTATATATTATGTCTTTCTATCTATGTACTTCTTCAGGAAAAAGAAACTTTCATACAGGATTTCTACCACCATTTGTTCACTTCAATTTTGCCTCCACTAGTACCAGTACTACACAAAATATGCATCCATAGCTCCATTTTTTTAGAGAGAAACATTTCACAGAATCAAATGGAACTCACTTTTTTTTAGAAGATATCCTTTCTTGACAATATTTTTATAAAAAGCATCCTTTGTCTTGTGACGAATTGTATTGTAGATTTCTTTTCCATCCACTGTATCATTAAGAACTTGTTCTTGATACTGGGAAAAAAGGAAGAAACCAACATTTTTTTAAGCTCAGAAATTGCCATGAAGCAATTGCACAATATGAAGCTGCAACTGAAATTTTATTAAATGCTAACAGTTATTTATTATTATTTTCTTCTGTGTCTTAACAAACTAGTATAATTTAATACAATACCTTTGCCCAAAATGTAATATAACTTTAATGTGGAATGATTTGGCCAGAATTATGAGAAGAAAAAGAAGGCATAAATACAGACCAACTTTCACGAAGTAACATATGTATTTATTTAACTCTAAATAGAAAGCAGCATCTTTCATGGTGATTTATGTGAAATTTACACAATGTTATTTAGCTTCTAATTGTTTTCTACCAATACTTTTGGGACTGAGTAATTAAGGATAGACAGTGAATCAACAAGAATGATGCAGTTCACAATTAAAATTGAAAGATTAACACACAAAATTACACAATCCGTCACTAATCTTATTAGCATTCATGTCCTAAATGGGTATCATTCTAAAAAAAAAAACAACAGTAGGAGAAAGTAGAAGCTGGAAATAGAAAAAGGATAAATTCACATAGAAAACTATGATCTGGAAATGTAAATACCAAGCTAGAATGGCCAAAAGGCAAGCCAAGTTTGACCTTAAAAAGTCAGATGATCGGAAAAAAAATTCTTTAGCCATAAGAAACTATGAAAAGCAATTCTGTCAAGCAGCAAGAACAGTATTGAGAAGTGATATATGCACTGGCTCCATAATAAACACTCTACATTTCTCTCTTTGCCCCCATATGTCTAAAAGAATTATGGTTTTAAACAACATGACAACAGCAAGATGACAGGATCATAGAATTGTAGAATAGTTAGGGGTGGAAAAGACCTTAAGATCATCAAGTTCCAACGTCCCTGCTATGGGCAGGGACACCTCACACTAAACCATGTCACCCAAGGCTCTGTCCAACCTGGCCTAGAACACCGCCAGGGATGGAGCATTCACAATTTCCCTGGGCAACCCATTCCAGTGCCTCAACACCCTTACAGTAAAGAACTTCATCCTTATATCCAATCTAAACTTCCCCTGTTTAAGTTTGAACCTGTTATCCTTTGTCCTATCACTACAGGCCCTAATGAAGAGTTCCTCCCCATCATCCTTATAGACCCCCTTCAGATACTGGAAGGCTGCTATGAGGTCTCCACACAGCCTTCTCTTCTCCAGGCTGAACAGCCCCAACTTTCTCAACCTATCTTCATACAGGAGGTGCTCCAGTCCCCTGATCATCCTTGTGGCCCTCCTCTGGACTTGTTCTAACAGTTCCATGTACTTTATATGCTGAGGACACCAGAACTGTACACAATACACCAAGTGGGTTCTCACGAGAGCAGTGTAGATGGGCAGGATCCCCTTCTTTGACCTGCTGCTCACGTTTCTTTTGCTGCAGCCCAGGATACGGTTGGCTTTCTGGGCTGCAAGCGCACACTGCTGGCTCATGTTTATTTTCTCATCAATCAGCACCCCCATGTCCTTCTCCGCAGGGCTGCTCTGAATCTCTTCTCCGCCCAACCTGTAGCTGTGCCTGGGATTGCTCTGACACAGATGTCATACATGCTCCAGGATATGCTCTAGCATGTCCGGGATATATGCTTTTTGGGAAGGACAGGCAGGGGAGACAAAGAGGAGGTGTCACCCTAATTGCAGAGTACCAGGTGGAGGGCAGACCTCCACCTGGGGATGAATGAAGAGCCAATGGAGAGATTACAGGTCAGGATTAAAGGGAAAGAAGGGACAGGGAACATGACAGTGGGGGTCTGCTACAGGCCACCTGACCAGGAAGACCGAGTGGAGAGGGCTCTCTGCAGAAGGATAGGTGCAGCATTGCATTCATAAGCCCTGGTCCTCATGGGGGACTTCAACCACTCTGATATCTGTTGGAGGGACAATACAGCAGGGCATATGCAATCCAGGAGGTTCCTGGAAAATGTAGATGATAACTTCCTTCTCTAAATAAACCTATCAGGAGAGGGGCTGTGGGACCTTGTTCTCACCAAAAGGGTGGGACTGGTGGGGAATGTGAAGCTTGAGGGCAGCCTTGGCTGTAGGGACCACAAAATGGTAGAGTTTGAGATCCTTAGGGCGGCAAGCTCACTACCCTGGACTTCAGAAGAACCAAGACATTATTCACCATATTTGAGAAGTCGTGGCAGTCTGGTGAAGTTTCTGCTGACTAAAAAAGGCGAAATATAACACCCATTTCTAAAAAAGGAAATAAGACAGACCCAGAGAACTACAGACTTGTCTGTCTCACCTCAGTGCCTGGCAAGGTCATGGAGCAGATCGTCCTGAAACTTTGCTAAGACATGTGGACAATAAGGGGGTGACTGATGACAGCCAACGTGGCATCACTAAGGGAAATCGTGCCTGACAAATTTGGTGGCCTTCTATGATGGCTATGGCATTGGTGGATAAGGGACCAGCAACTGACATCATCTACCTGGACTTGCGCAAGGCCTTTGACACTGTCCCACATGACATCCTTGTCTCTAAACTGAAGAAACATGGATTTAAAGGACGGACCACTCAGTGGATAAGGAATTGTCTGAATGGCCACACTCAAAGATTTGTCATTAATGGCTCAATGTCCATGTGGAGATCCGAAACCAAATTTTTAACCATAAAAACTGGAAAGTTTGAGAATAGATAGGGAACAAAGTATAGAAGTACTTTAGAATTAGCTATAACTTTAAGAAAAACTAAGCAATGTGATTTATTATCAGTGATCTCTTAGAATGAATTTATGCTACAGGGCAACAATGTTCCAGAACACACCCTGTAATCCCCCTGGTCATCTCTGAAGCTTTTCTGTGCATGTAGGTTTCATCTGGGGGAGAAAAGATACCTGACACAGAAGAATGGAGGGCAGCCATTTTCCCCCAACCCCAAAAGAGCATTAAGGCACAGCACTGGTTCAAACAGGGACCAGAGCCGGGGGCACAAGCAGAGCATTTACACCCCAGAGCACAAAGATTACCATATGTTCTGTTTACTACAAGCCAACCTTAGATAAGCAACTGCATATGAGGATAAAATGAAAGAAACACACAAACTGAAAAAAAAAATTCAGGATGGGATTACGCATTTAACTATCATGGATACCTCCACTGCAGACCTCAAATATTTTTAAAATAGGAAATGAATTAACTCAATATCATCAATGACAAGTCCTCAGAGATAAAATTTTACCTGCACTGGAACAGGGTCTTTAAGGTAATATCCTTCAACAATCTGTTCTTTTCTATAATGTTCAATGATCTCAGCAATACTGTTCAAATAAAAAAAATAAGATTTAAAATGTTAAATCAGTTAGTTTTTCCTCTGTATGAGAATTTGCTTTTCCATTCAATCACACTACATTTCCTCAGAAATTTATAATAAAACTCAAGTGTTAAACATCATAACCTTTAGAGTGATGACAATTTATTAATACATTGAAATCAAGAAAATTCACAGAACTGTACTCATGATGTATTAATTCAAAACTACACAGAAAATTTTCAGGCAGTTATTCAAAATTACTGTATTGGGTCTGGCTGGGATAGAGTTAATTTTCCTCATAGCAGCCCCCATAGTGCTGTGCCCTGTATTTGTAGCTAGAGCGTGCTGATAACAAACCAGTTGTGGCTACTGCTGAGTAGTGCTCACACAGCATCAAGGCTGTCTCTCCAACCCCACTCCTCAAAGGCCAGCAAGCTGGGGGTGGGAAATAGGTTGGAAAGGGACATAGCCAGGACAGATGACCCAAACTGACCAAAGGGGTATTCCATACAATATGATGTCTGCTCAGCAATAAAAGTTAAGAGAAATTAGGAGATGGGGCATTCATTATTAAAGTGCTTGTCTTTTAAAGCAACTGCTATGCCTACTGAGACCCTACTTCTCAGGAAGTGGCTGGACATCACCTACTGATGGGAAATAGAATAAATCTTATTTTCCTTTGCTTCCACATGCAGCCTCTGCTTTTCTTTATTAAGCTGCCTTTTATTGACACACAAGTTTTTAATCTTATTTTCTCCCCCTGAGATTGAGAGAAGGACTTGGTGGGCACCTGGCAGCCAGCCAAGGTCAACCCACAACAATGCCCCATGAATATGCCTTCTTTTCTACATTCAAGTAACACGTGCATTTCTCAGCTCTCTAGAAAAATTGCTATTCTACTAATAATAATTTTCAAGGTCCTAGAGAAACTAGGGAAGAGGAATGGGAGATACTTCAAATTGTGTAACGGAATTTCTTTGAAAGAAGACAGGAGTGTGAAATAAAAAAGTTTTTCAACATGGATTATGCAGGTTATACTTCAAAATCACTGAGCTATCCTGTTAAATTAGCTACCCAGTCAGTAATGCTCCTCTACAGGGAAGAATTAGCAGAATCAGGTTTAAATTGTATTTTGAAGGATCGGGAGAGAAGTAATGACAGATGCAAGTTAAAATACAATTGCTCTTATTTTTGCAGTTATTGAAAGTTACGTTGTAATAAAGAGAAACAAAGCTAACATCAATACAGATGAATTATTCACATACAAAATAATAACATGAAAATAAAGAGTCAAGTAATTAAGTGGAGAACAAAAATATATTTTGTATGCTTTCTGTTGTGGTTTAAGGGTTTAAGCTCAGCCACGCAGTCTCTCTCTCTCACACACACACACATACACATAACCCCTCTACATTTTTAGGTAAGTTATAAAGAACAGGTGTTCTCTCTGCCCAATGTCCTAGGTTCAGCAGTAGCACTCATTTTTCTCCTTCTTAGTAGCTGGTGTTTTTGACTTTCAGCCTGGGAACAATGCTGATAACACTGGTGTTTTTAGTTGTTGCTAAGTAATGTTTACTCTGACCAAGGACTTCTTGAGTCTCATGCTCTGCCAGGGAAGAGGGGAAGACGAGAGGAAGCAGAGACAGGACACCTGACACAAACAAGGCAAAGAGGTATTCCATACCACAGCACATCATGCCCAGTATATAAACTGGGGGCAGTTAACTGGAAGGGCTAGATCACTGTTCGGTCGGCCTGAGTATCAGTTGGCGGGTGGTGAGGGGTTGTATTCTCTTCCCTTGTTATTTCTCTTATCATTATTATAATTGGTGGTAGCAGTAGTGGTTTTGTGTTATAGCTTAGTTACTGGACTGTTCTTATTTGAACCCATGGGAGTTACATTCTTTTGATTCTCCTTCCCATCCGTCTGGGAGCAGGGGGAGGAAGGAGGGGGAAGTGAGCAGCTCTTTCTGGTGCCCAATGTGGTACACAAAGGCTTGAGATAACAACAGATCTGAATGGAGTTTGTCTAATCCTATTTGTGACAAGCACTAATTGTTTCAGATTAATGGTCACTCGTCACAATGCTGATTTAATGGCTCTCAAAGTTGTTGCTCTTGATCTCAGATTTTCAGCATGTTGTACTTTACTTACAGCCTGTATTTACTGTTTTAGTGTTTATTGGCTAGGGGACCTGGGTTAAGGTTCTTGTTTCAGTGTACTTTATGGTAATGACTTGTAATACAATAGACTCATTGATCATGAAACTGATCTGGCTTGTGTTCCCAGTGTGGTCACCAACTCTATACTTTGGGAGGTATATAATAGAAGTGTTTAGCTATTACACATCTTTTTTCCCCTCCTCGGGTGGTCAACCTATGAAGGAGACATTCTCTTATGTTCCCAGTCCCCCCACCAGACTATTTACAGCATCATTTGGAGTTCTGAAGGTTTTGAATGGCCTTTGGGTACCCTTGAGACCTGCCTGCTGATTGTGATGGGGATCACCATGTTGGCACACATACAGAGGGTGTTCTACCCATGACCATTTCATCTCATCTCGAAAGTTAAGCAGAGTCAGGTTTGGAACTTGTCAAGGGTTAAATGATGATATAGGAGGACCAAGAGATTTTCCCCTAGGCTGGACAGTCATGAGTGGCAGGGTGTGTGGGATAGTATGGGCAAGTATCTAGGCCAGTGAGCCCTCCCAGTGCTTTGGAACTTCAACACTGAACAAGTGCAAAATCCAGAAAAAATAGAAAAACACTTAAATGAGGTGTGTTGTCATCCTGGTCATACCAGAGATGGACAAATTATGGCAACAAGCTGGGTCTTGGTCTATGTTTACAGAGCCCTGTTCAACACTATCCAGCACCTTCAAAGGGAAAAAAATGTCTCTGGATCTGATGGCAAAGCAACAGATAACACAGCTACTCCAACTCCAAATACAGCAGCTACACCAACCCTAGTGAAAAATACAGGAGTTATTCAACCTCTGACTGCAATAGGCAGTGCAGCTACTCCAGCTCCAAGCACAGCAGCTACACCATCCCCAGTGACAATCAGTGCATCTAAACCAGAGGACCAATTCTTGCCAATATCAGTTTCCCCTGTACACAAGGGGAAAAGCAAAAAAGAGTCAAGAAAGATGACTCAAACTCTGACTACAAGAGATAATGCAGCTACTCCAACTCCAAGTCCAGCGACTACACCAACACCAGTGACAAGTACAGCAGCTACTCAAGCTCCAACCACAACAGACAGCACAGCTACTCCAGCTCCAAGCACAGCAGCTACACCAACCCCAACAAGTACAGTAGCTACTCAAACTCCGATTGCAACAGACAGTGCAGCTACCCCAGTTCCAAGCACAGCAGCTAAACCAGCCCCAGTGATAAGTACAGCGGCTACTCAAACTTTGATGGAACCAGATGAGTTCCGTGGTGTCATCAGCAGGCAACAGTCCAACACAGCACACAGTCTCTCCAGCTCTGAAAGACTTACAGGAGATGGAACGTGACATCATGGACCGAATGAACTCAACAGCTTTACAGGGATTAGTCCATGCACTAAGGAATGATATCTCTCTCTTTGTGTGTGCGCAGATGTCTGCGTATATATATATGACAAGAGTGATGGTATATTGAAAAATGTGGGATCTGAGCATGATGCGAATGGTATTGAATAAGGGGTGGATACTGTCCTGAGCTCAGCAGTAGCAGTCATTTTTCTCCTTAGTAGCTGGTGCAGCTCTGTGTTTTTGACTTGGCCTGGGAACAACACTGATAACACACCAGTGTTGCTAGGTAATGTTTACTCTGACCAAGGACTTTCTGTGTCTCATGAACCGACAGGGAGGAGGGGAAGTCGAGAGGAAGCAGAGACAGGACACCTGACACAAACAAGGCAAAGAGGTATTCCATACCACAGCACGTCATGCGAGGATGTAAACTGAGAATTATCTGGAAAGGCGAGTTCACTTCTCAGTTGGGCTGGGTATCAGTGGGTGGTGAGCAGTTGTATTCTCTTCCCTTGTTGTCTTATCATTATTGTTATTGGTGGTAGCAGTAGTGGTTTTGTGTTATAGCTTAGTTACTGGACTGTTCTTATCTCAACCTGTGGGAGTTACATTCCTTCGATTCTTCTCCCCATCCCTCTGGGAGCAGGGGGGGAAGGGGGGGCATGAGCAAGTAGCTGCATGATTCTGGGTTGCCGGCTGGACTTAAACCACGACACCCAAGAAATACTCATAGACAATTCTTAATTTTGTATTAATTCATATTTCCTATGTTTTTGTTCTGGATTCAATGCCATTTGATGCTTTTCAGCCACATCTGATTGTTCCATAAAACAATCCACTTCAGTCTTGTCGTGGTTTAAACCCAGCCAGACAGCTTGTGCACTCACTCCCAGTGAGTGGTGCCGGGCTGGAAGCAGTCGAGGCCTGGGGCTCCCCCCCTTCCCCGCTCCCGGAGGGATGGGGAGGAGAATCGAAAGAATGCAACTCCCATGGGCTGAGATAAGAACAGTCTAGCAACCAATGTACAACACAAATCACCACCGCTACCACCACTAACAACAATGATAAGAGATAATAGCAAGGGAAAAGAGTACAATACCACCCGCCGAACAACGAGTCCAACCCAGCAGACCCCCTGTCCTTCCGGGGTGACTCCCAGTTCCCCCCTGGGCATGACGTGCTGTGGTATGGAATACCTCTTTGGTCAGTTTGGGTCAGGTGTCCTGTCTCTGCTTCCTCCCGGCTTCCCCTCCTCCCTGGCAGAGCATGAGGCTCACAAAGTCCTTGGCCAAACCAAAACATCATTTTTATCAACTTTGTTCCCAGCCCGAAAGCCAAAACACAGCACTGCACCAGCTACCAAGAAAGAGAAAAAATGACTGCTAGTGCTAAACCCAGGACATTATCCACCCCTTATTCCATACCATTCACATCATGCTCAGATCCCACATTTTCAATATATCATCACTCTGATCTCAGTGCACTTC